CCCCCCGCAGCCCCGGGCACTTGGTACAGCCCAGCCCCTCGGTCGGGGGGACAAAAAATACCCAACTCCGCCCCACCCCCTTCCTTCAACGACTTTAAGACCAGCGCAACGACTTTAAGAGCTGACTACAGAGTACGCGAGAAAAACAGAGCGCCGCCCGGAAGTGGCGCCAAGAGACTGGCGAAGAGTAGGAGAGAGGGCGTCAACCAGGACAAAAGTCACTTGAGTGAGAGGAAGCGGAAGTGAGGAGTATAGAGACGTGGGTGCGGGAGGGAGTGCCACTGCAGTGACCGGTTGATGTACGGGGAGCATAGAGTCGCGGCTCCTCTGTTACGGAGAACGCCGAGCTGCCGGCCGTGGGAAGCGAAAACCGTAGAGATGTCGAAAGCGATGGAGCAAGGGCGCCCCGCCGAGGAGCCTGGAAACGGGGGGCAGAAAGGGGTGGACAGAACTGCTCCTCCAAGTTTGGGAGGATGGAAACCAGAGCCGTTGGAGGCTTCCCCCCCCGCCCTCCGGGGTGCCCAAAGCATCGTTCAGAGCCCTGGAAGCAGCCACTATCGAGCCTCCGGCAAGGCACATGCGTAGAATTCTGCACATCCCCCCCCCCCAGTGCAGGTTCTGAGTAGTTAGCTGGGTCGAGGCCCGTATCCGGAAGTATCGCAGTCAATGGGGGCGGGACCCATACCCAGAAGTACCACCATGTGTGGGAAGCTGCAGCTACTCTTGCGGCCACGGGCGGGGAGAAGTGGGGCGGGGTGTAGTTGGAGAACCCAGATGTCCGGCTCCTGGGTGGTGGGAGGAAGCAAGCCTGTGGTAACTGACTTGCCTGCTCATCCCCACAAGGGACCCAGGCATCCGAGCTCCCGGCGCCCCCTCCCCTCCCCTGGAATCTCCGGTAACGCCCCATTGAACTCTGAGGGAGGAGGGAGCTGGAAAAGTCCTATTGACTGCTGCTGGTTAGCCTCCTGGGAAGGGAAGGGAAGGGGCGGGGCGGCGGTTCTGGTATCCCCTGGAGGCATTGCGAGTGGAACGGCCGGGAAACTAGGTAGGGTCGGACGTGTTCTGGTTGCGGGTGGGAGACGGCGGCTGCCGAGTCCTTGTTCAATCAAGCCGTGCAGCCAGATCGATTTGGGAGGTACAGTTGGGGTGGTCTCTGAGCACGGATGCCTGGGTTCTTTTTCCTCAGTCTGGGAGGAGAGTGGGGGCTGATGGGTTAGATCGAAGAGCTCCAGGCACTGTCCAGACCCCTCCAGCTGAGATCAGGGTCTCGCTCATACACTTGATCCCAAAGCAGTGTCCTTCCACCCTCAGCCCCACTTCCCTCTACAAGCCCAGAGAACTCGGGCATCCGTGCTCAGAGACCACCCCAAGTGTACCTCCCAAATTCCCACTCCCCTCCCAGAGCTGAGAGAAAACCTAGGCATCCAGGTCAAAGGCTGGGCTTACTAGGCAAGGCTGCTGGCACCTTAAATTTAGGACCTCTATATTCCCAGCTATTCCATCTTAAATCCAGAGCCTGGCTCCCCCACATCTGGACAATTTCACCTTAACCTGTACCCCAACATCAGCTTTAACACTTGTACCCCTGATACCTTTACCCCAAGCGACAGGAGACCGATCCACCTTAACTTAGCAACCTGCACCTGTTCCACCTCAAATATGCATATAATGAGGTGGGGGGGGGAGTAGAGGGAGAAGAAAAGTCCATCCAAAAAGAACCCACCCCATGTTCATGAGCCGGAGAGTTGTGATTCCACCTTAATGGGGGGGGGAGGTTCCACCTTAAATCCCATAGGGGAAGGTTCTGCCTTTAGCCTAAGTAGGGGGGAGGAAGATTCCATTTCAAATCTGAGGGGGGAGGGAAGTTTCACCTTAAATCCAGGTGAAGAGAGGAGATTTCCACCTTAAATTGGGGGGAAGGAGATTCCACCTTAAATCTCATAGGCAGAAGAAGGTTATACAGGTTTCCCTTGCTTTATACTGTACATGCATGCCTGGAAAACGGTGCATAACTTGAATTTGCATAAAGGGAACCTACTTTACAATGTAACAGATATGTTCCAAGACCTGGACTCTGGTGACCCCCAGACCCATTTTCTACCACTTTTTCAAGACAATTTTGGTACTCACCAACAGCAGACCCTACATACAAGCACAGGGCACTATCCTAGTGGAGATGGCAACTACAGAAACTCATGTCACAGATAACAAGTGAGGAGCACAGATACACAGAGACTATATTTTGGTGCATATCACTCCCACAACACATGGCACAGAGCAGTTGACTGTGGGCTTCCACGACATGGATTGCTTAAGAGTACATTTACTTTGCATGTAACAGATTTTGGTGTAAAAAGGGTCATTGTATACGAGTGAATTTGCACATACAGAACTGGCATAAAGCAAGGGAAACCTGTATCTTAAATCCGAGCTGGTATGGGGGGAGGAAGATCCCATCTCAAAAGCAAGGCAATTTCATCTTAAATCCAAGGGGAAGGGGAAGATTCCACCTTAAATCGGGGCTGGGGGTGGGGGAGTCCATCCTAAATCTTGGGGGGAGGGGCAAGATTCTACCTTAAATACAAACAACAGAGGAAGGTTCCACCTTAAATCTTGGCTCCATAGGACGTTTCCGCTTTAACTGGCAGCCCCGCCCCCTCTGGCAGCCTGGGCGTGGCGAGGAAGTCGTCGTAGGCTCCGCCCAGCAGGGCAGCTGCATCGCGGGGCCTCACCAGCCAGCAGGGGGCGGGGCGGGGCCGGGGGGCGAGGCCCGCAGCCTGGCAGGCACGGCGGCCCCACCCCGACACAGCCACGCCCCCTGCCCCGCCCGCAGCCAGATATCGCCGTTCCGAAGCCGGCCTGCAAGGAAGTCAAGGGGCGCTATCGGGGCGGGGCTGGAGGCACGGTGCCCGACACCCGCGGGCATGACAGGAGGTTGGGTGGATGTAATGGTCCAGTTAGGCTTACTGATCCACTATGGGGGTGGGGAATACTGGTCTGACTAGGTTTGTTGGTATAGTATAAAAGGTAGTGGTCTAACTGGGACCATATGGTAGGTACTGGCTCATTATAGAAGGTTACTGGTCTAACTGGGTGTTACTGGCCTGGCTGGGGGGTAGTGACGCATTACATGGGCATGAGCCACACTGCAGGGGTTCCTGGTCTGACTGGGGAGTACTGGTCCATTATGGGGGTTTACTGGCCTAGCTGGGGGTTAGCAGTCCACTATAGGAGTTCCTGGTCCTCTACAGGGAGTAACTGGCCTTACTGTGGGTACTGGTTCATTATAAGAAGTTACTGGTCCACTACAAGGGGTTACTGGTCTGACTGGGGGGTTGCTGGCCCGCTATAGGGGTTACTGATCCATTATAGGAGGTCACTGGCCTGCTTGGGGGTTATGGGTCCATTACAGGGGTTCCTGATCCACTATAGGGATTACTGTTCTGACTGGGGGTTATGCATCCATTATAGGAAGTAACTGGTCCACTGCAGGGAGTTCCTGGTATAACTGGAGGATACCAGTTCATTACTGGCCCCTCATTACTGGGGTTTCTGGTCCATTATAGGGGTTACTGGCCCATTACAGGAGCTATGGTCTAATTGAACATTACTGGCCCACTTATAGGAGGTTACTTGTCTAACTGGGGGTTTCCTGGTCCCATACAAGACCCCAGGGTGGAGAGGGTGGGGGTACTTACCCAGCAGGCCATGGGCCCTTGGTGACAGCCCACGCCCATCAGCCACGTAAAACCCCAGGTGGTCACGCTGCAAGAGCCGGGGCTGCGGGTAGCGATGATACCGCACGACCAGCGCCAGGCATGAGGCCAGTCTCAGCACTGCTGTGGCCCCCCGTACCTGCAACCCCAGCCCAGGCTTAAGGCCTGGGTTGGGGGCAGGGCCTGGGGCCCCCCAGGGCAGCCATTGGGCTTCCCCAGGTCCCTTCAGCACCAGCCCAGCAGGCGTAGCATGAACCTGCATCCTCCCTAGTGCCACCGTCACTGCGCCCAAGAAGGTGCATGTTCGCTCTGGTGCACCTGGCCAAGGGGGAGCACCCACCAGCTGGCCCCTTACTGTCAGCCCTGGGAAGAGAGTATGGGGATGAGGGGGGCAGGGGTCAACATGAATGCCTGGGTTTTCTGGGAGGGGAGGGGGACTAGGGGGTGAAAGCAAGGGAGCCTGGGAGCCCAGATGCCTGGGTTCTCTAGGAGGATTTGGTGGGGGGTGGGGGCTGGAGGTTTAGAGTAGCATGATGGGATGCCTAGATGTCTGAGTTCTCAAGGTGTGGAGCATTAGGGGGCTTGGGGGGAACCCAGACACCTGGGTTCTCTTGGAGAGGACGGAGAGCTGGGGGCTTAAGAGTAGAGCTTGGGGGGGAGAACCTGGACACCTGGGTTCTCTGGGAAGGGATTGGGGGCTCAAGGATGGTAGCAGGGATGGTCGAGAGCCTGGATGCCTGGATTCTTTGGGAAGGGAGTGGGGGTTGTGGGGTGGGAGCAGGGGCCACTGGGAGCCTGGATTCTCTCCCAATCCTGTCTCCCCTTTCCCTGAAGTCAGTGGAACCCAGGGGTCCGGGCCCCCGCTCATCCTCCCCCAAGATTCTCACCACTCTGAGGGTCTGTGAGCAGGTCCAGGGTGTCCCCTGCGTGCCCATCCAGTGTGAAGCAGAGAGGGACAGCTGCAACCGGCAGCTGGGCTACAAAGTGGGGGTCTCCATCCACTGCAGGGCACAGGTGGGGGGGGGGCAATTAGGTCTAATGGCTCCTGCCCCCCCACCCAATTGCTGCTGGGACAGCCTTACCTGAAGAGGAGAAGGTGAAGAACCTGGCCTGGGCTGGGAGGAGGGAAAGAAAAGGTTAATGCTGGGGTGGGGGGGAGCACCCTCCCCCCAGTTCTCTGGGAAGGGAATGGGGGCTGGGGATTTGAGCAGGGAAGGTGGGAGCCCAGATACCTGGGTTCTCTGGGAGGGGAGGGGAGCAGAGCCTGGTGGGTCAGAGTGGGGGCTGGGTGTCTGGATGCCTTGGTTCTCTCATCCCACAGGAACCAAATCCAACCATACCGGGCCCCAGGGTCCCCTAGACCTGAAGGCCCCCTCAGACCTACTAGCCTCACTCTTGTCCTCCTCTGAGAAGTCATAGTTTCATAGTAGTTTGGGGTCAGAAGGGACCTGAACAGATCATCTAGTCTGACCCACCACCACTGGTAGGAGCATACACTGGGATCACACAACCCGAGACAGGTGTTCGTCCAACTTTTTTAATTTACCCAAGGTAGTCTGCAAGGCAAGGGCAGGGTCACGGGGGTCACAGCCCAGACCCCCACGACTTCCCCTGGACTCAGAGGCTGAGACCCCCACCCATGGCTGGAAGGTCCAGGGCTGCCAGGTGGTCTTGCACCCAGGCCTCTGTTGGGTCCAACCCTGCTTAGCTTCCAAGCTCACCAGCACACTCAAGGTGATATGAATAGGACAGGAAGGGGTACTCAAAGGATGAGAAGTGCTACTACCATCAGGGAGGGAGAGGGGTAGGAATGAATAGATAGAGGGATGTTAGGATGGATGTTTATGAGGAGGGATGACTGCATAGATGCAAGGGTGTGAGGATGGATGGATGAACAGTTGGGATGGTTGGAGGGATGAGGATGAAGGGATGGATGCAGTGACAGATGGACAAAGGGGGATGGCTGGAGGGGTGCGGCTGTGGATGGAGGTGGGGACAGAGGGGTCCCTAATCTTCCTTCCTCTTGCCTGAGCTGCTGTTAGAGACCTGACAGGATAAGGAGCTCTGTAACGAGGCAGAAGTTGAGGGCCCTGTCCAGGTAGGGGTGGAGCTCATCCCAGGGGGCACCATTAACAAGCTTAATTACCAGCCTCCAGGCCTGACCCATCTTCACGGGTAGGGGCTTGCCTTGAGCTGTCAATCACCAAACCCCATCCCCTTATTTCCCAGGAGGCCTGCTCCCAGAACTCTGTCCCCCAGAATCCCTAGCCTTAAAGGGCTGGTGCTCCTTACCTGCAACATCATCATCATCTGGGGCACCTGTTGCGGGGGAGGGGGCAAGAGATGACAATGAGTCTTGGGGAAAATGGGGGGGGGCATTGGGGAGGGTGGGACATGGGCACCCACCTGCCTCCCTATTAGCTACCATGACGCTGTAGATCGGTGGGGGATCAAGGGACTCTTTGAACCTGCCATCAGTGTCCTCTGGGACTGCCAGCTCCGTGTCAGGGGCCAGCAGCCAGATGATGGTGTCGCCGGAGCCCCGTGCCTCTGCCCATGGCTGGGCTGTGGGCCAGGAGAAGGGCCCTGACTTTTTCCTGGACATCTGGGTTTCATTCATGCCCAGGGGACTGGGAGCTGTGGGGGTCCCAGGCCTTGGCACAATGGGGTCTGGTTCCTCCGTGGGTGCCTGGCCAGAGTCTGTGGGCACTGAGATGCCCCCTAGGAGGGGTGCCATGGAGGAGGGGGCCAGTGCCAGTGAGGCTACCAAGGAGGGGTTTGAGGCTACCGAGGAGGGGTTAGGGGTTACTGTGGCTACTGAGAGGTCCCGAGCAACTGTGGCTACCAAGAAAGAATTGTGGGCCTTCCTGGGGGCTGGGGCCTCCCCCTCCTTGTCCTCCTCAGGCATTACCACCACCAGGGAAGTGACGGGGGTGACGAAGCTGTAGTCCAGGGCCAGGCTGGTGGCCTTTTGAGCCAGCAGCCTCCGGGCTCCCGCATCATCAGCCCGCACCCGCGCCTCCAGCAGCTTCTGCACAGTGAAGTAGGCCCAGAGGCGCCTCACGAACCTGCCTACATTGCCGGGCCCCGCAGAGCAGCCCAGGGGCTGCGTGAGGTTCCCCCCAACTGCCCGGGTCTCTAGGGCCACAGGCCCCTCACGGCCTATCCCCGTGGCTCCAACCTGGAGCTCTGAGGCCTCCGGTGGCACCCGCCCGGCTACCACCAGCTCAGCCCCTTGGAAGTAGTGGGGGAAGAGGGCATGAGAGACAGGCTGAGAGACACCAGCAGGGAGGTAGGACAGGGCCACGTCAGCTAGTAGCGGGGCGGCCACAGTGTTGTAGAAGCCAGCCAACTGCAGGGTGGCGTTGGTATCCTCATGGACCCACTGGGCCAGGCCACGGTTGTCCAGAGCCAGGTGGTGAAGGAGGCCAAAGTCAGCATCAGCCCCAAAGGCCAGCCCAAAGAGAGCCACGGTGGCTCCCCCCAATGCCTGGCGGGCAGCAGCCAGAATGCAGGGAGCTGAGGTAACACCAGCCGTGGCCACTCCGTGAGGAAGAGGAGCAGGGGGAAATGCTGAGGGGCCAGGCTGGAGGAGGAGGGTAGGGGGAAGAGGGAGGCAGCTGTCAGCAGGGCCTGGTGGATATCAGTCCCTGCAGGAGACAGGAGGAGGAAGTGGGGGTGGGTGGCTATCAGGACAGACCCTCCTACTGTAAGGGGATCCAGGCACCTGGGTTCCAAGTTCCCATGCTCCCAGCCCCCACTCCCCTTCCTAGGGAACCCCAGCATCCAGTTTCCATCCCTCCTTACTTTAACCCCCCCAGTCCTCTCCCTTTCCCAGGTAACCCAGGTGTCTGGGATCCCAGCTTTCCCTGCTCAATCCCACTGGGTCCCACTACCCTCCTGGGGAACCCAGGTGTCCAGACAGCTAGTTCCCCCTGCTCTAACTCCCCTTCTTCTCCCTCCCAGGGAGCCCAAACTCCCAGCCCCACCCTGATCTATCCCCCCCAGCCCCCACCATCCTCCCACAGCAGGGAGAGAACCTGGGCATCTGGTACTCACATCCTTTGGCCTCTAGCTGGTTGACATAGTCAATGGCGGCGTGGAGGTGGGCAGCTGAAGGAGGCACAGAGCCACTGGGCTGCCACACATGTGCCACCTCTGAGAAGGCCACAATGTTGAACAAGTCCTCAAGGTGCAGGTCCCCCAGGATCACCTGCATGGCCTGCTTGGTCTGGGGTGGTGGATAGGGTTAACTCACCTGTCCACCCATCTACCCACCCACTCATCCCTCCATCCACCTACCAATCCATCCTCCATCAACCCACGCATCCACTTACCCATTCACCCATCCCTCCATTCACCTATCCCTCAATCTACCCATCCTTCCTTCACCCATTTACCCATCCCTCCAACTTCTAGCCCTCTCCTCATCCCTCCATTCATCCCACCCTCCAGCTACCTATCAGCCCACCCATCCATGCACTCATCCCTCCATCCACCCATTCACCCATATTTTCATCTACCTACCCATCCACTCACCCATCTAACCCTTTCCCCATCCCCTCATCCATCCCTCCCCCTCCAGTTACCCATCTACCTACCTATCCATCCACCTCACACCCACCCATCTCTCCATCCACCCACCCCTCCCATCCATCCCTCCCCCTCCACCTACTTGTTCACCCACCTACCCATACATGCATTGACTCATCCACCCAATCATCCATGCCCCCCACTTTCCCCACTCCCCTACACCCCAGTCTCCCACATTCCCTTGATAGCCCACAGACTTTGCCAGATCTTTTCTCCCCACCATGACTCTGTGGATCCTCAAGTGGTGTGACAGAGACCCTGGGCTGAAATAGCTCTGTCCCTTCAGTTCAGGGACCCCGTGAGTGCCAGTGCTGCCCTCACCTGCTCCATCTTGGTGCCAGCCATGGAGCCACTGATGTCAATGATGAAGACAACATGCTTGCGGATAGGGGGCAGCCCGCGGGGTGCAAAGAAGTGCACGAAGTAGCCATCATAGAGCTGGGAGGGGAGGGGAGAGGGTGAGACCCTGCATGTGGCCACCTGCTGCCTTTTGGCCAAGCTGAGCACCTCTGCAGCCACCTGGCCATCCCTAGGGACATGCCTCCAGACCTCCACCACCCAACCAGCTATCCACCTATGTGTGCCTCCATTCCTCCACACACCCATCCCCCACACTCATCCATCCATCTACCAAAACCATTTGGCCTCCATCCACCTGTGTGTCCCCTCACTAGTTCATGCATCCATCCACCCATCCATCCACCTATCTAACCATCTATCCATTTAACCATCCCCCCACCCATTTTTCCATCATAGAAAGTTAGGGTTGGAAGGGATCCCAGGAGGTCATCTAGTCCAAGCCCTTGCTCAAAGCAGGACCATCCCCAACTAGATCATCCCAGTCAAAGCTTTGTCTAGCCAGGTTTTGAAAATCTCCAAGGATGAAGCTTCCACCACCACTCTGGGTAACCTGTTCCAGTGTTTTACTATCCTCCCAGTGAGAAAATTTTTCCTAATATCTAACTCAAACTACCCTCCCTGCAAGTTGAGACCATTGCTCCTTGTTCTGTCACCTGCCACCACTGAGAACAGTCTAGCTCTATCCTCTTTTGAACCCCCCCTTCAGGTTGTTGAAGGCTGCTATTAAATCCCCCCTCAGTCTTCTCTTCTTTGGACTAAATAAGCCCAGCTCCCTCAGTCTTTCCTCATAAGCCATGTCCCCCAGCCCCTGAACCATTTTTGTTGCCCCCTGCTGGACTTTCTCCTATTTGTCCACATACTTTTTGTATTGGGGGGCCCAAAACTGAACACAGTACTCCAGATGTAGTCTCACCAGTGCCAAATAGAGGAAAATAATCACTTCCCTTGACCTACTGGCAACACACCTACCAATGCAGCCCATTATGGCATTAACCTTCTTGGCAACAAGGGTGCACTGCTGGCTCATATTCAGCTTATTGTCCACTGTAACCCTCAGGTCCTTTTCTGCAGAGCTGCTGTCCAGCCAGTCATCCCCAGCCTAAGTGCAGGACTTTTCATGTGTCCTTGTTGAACCTCATGAGATTCCTTTTGGCCCAATCCTCCAATTTGTCTAAGTCACTCTGAATCCTAGTTCTACCCTCCAGTGTATCTACTACTCCCCCCAGCTTGGTGTCATCTGCAGACTTGCTGAAGGTGCACTCTTTGCCATCTTCCAGGTCATTGATGAAGATATTAAACAAAACCAGCCCCAGGACTGACCCCTGGGGCACTCTACTTGATACCAGCTACCAATTAGACATTGAGCCATTGAACCATTGAGCCATCTGTTCAATGTCTTCATCAGTGACTTGGATGAGGGCGTGGGAAGCACTCTGTTCAGATTTGCAGATGATAACAAATTATGGGGCAAAGTTAACACACTAGAGGGTAGCAAATTAATCCAGGCAGATCTGGACAGCTTGGAAAAGTGGACAGAACAGAATGCAGTTCAACAAAGATAAGTGCAAAGCGCAGCACCTAGGGAGAAGGAATCACCAGCACACTTAAAGGCTGGGGGAGGACCTTCTCAGCACCACAGCAGTGGAAAGGGATATTGGAGTCATTGTTGGCACCAAGATGAATGTGAGCCATCAGTGTGACAAAGCGATCAGTAAAGCGATTAGTAAAGCATTTTATCATGCATTAACAGCTGCATGCTCAACAGGTCCAGGGAGATGATACTTCCCCTCTATGCGGCATCCAGTTTTGGGTGCCGCACTTCAAGAAGGATGTGGACAACCTTGAGAGGGTTCAGAGGAAGGTCACTCATATAGTTAAGGGCCTGCAGGCAAAGCCCTACAAGGAGAGATTGAAGGACCTGGATCTCTAAAGCCTCTAAGAGAAGGCTGAGAGGTGACCTTGCGGCCACCTACAAATTCATTGGGGGTGAGGGGAAAGGGGGCAGCAAGGAAAAGGAGATGCCCTGATTACCAGGGCACCCCTCGAAGTAACTAGGAACAATGGCCACAAACTGATGGAGAGCAGATTTAGGTTAGGCATCAGGAAGAACTTCTTTATGGTAAGGGTTGCCAGAATCTGCAATGGGCTTCCAAGGGAGGTGGTGCTGTCCCCTACCTCAGGGGTCTTTAAGAGGAGGCTAGGCATGCACCTGGCTGGGGTCATCTAACCCCAATGCTCTTTCCTGCCCAGGGAAGGGGGGTGGACTCAATGATCTAATGAGGTCGCTTCCAACCCAAACATCTATGAATCTATGAATTACTACTTTCTGAGCCCTATGCTCCAGCCAGTTTTCTATGCACCTTACAGTCCATCCATTCAGCCCGTACGTCCTTAGCTTGCCTGTGAGAATGTTGTGGGAGACTGTATCAAAAGCCTTGCTAAAATCAAGGTACACCACATCCACTGGTCTCCCCACATCCACAGAACCAGTCTGAGGCAATCAGTCTGGTCAGGCATGACTTGCCCCTGTTAAATCCATGCTGACTGTTCTTAATTACCTTCTCCTCCAAGTGCTTAGAAATGGATTCCTTGAGGATATGCTCCATGATTTTCCATGATTTTTCCAGGGACTGAGCGGAGGTTGACTGGTCTGTAGTTCCCTGGATCTTCTTCTTCCCTTTCTTAAATATGGGCACTATATTTGCTGTTTTCTAATCATCCAAAACTTCTGATCGCCATGAGTTTTCAAAGATGATGGCCAATGGCTCTGCAGTCACGTCAATGAACTCCCTCAGCACCTTTGGGTGCATCCCATCTGGCCCCATGGACATGTGCACATCCAGCTTTTCTAAGTAGTCCCTAACCTGTTCTTTCACCACTGAGGACTGCTCACCTCCTTCCCAAACTGTGCTGCCTGGTGCAGTAGTCTGGGTGCTGACCTTGCCTGTGAAGACTGAGGCAAAAAAGGCATTGAGCAATTCAGCTTTTTCTGCATCCTCTGTCACTAGGTTGCCTTCCCCACTCAGTAAGGGACCCACACTTTCCCTGATCCTCCTTTTGCTACCAACCTACTTGTAGAAACCCTTCTTGTTACCCTTCACATTCCTTGCTAACTGCAACTCCAATTGTGCTTTGGCTTTCCTGACTTCATCCCGGCATACCCAAGCAATGCTCTTATATTCTTCCCTGGTTATTTGTCCATATTTCCACTTCTTATAAGTTGCATTTATGTGATTTAGTTTACTGAAGAGTTCCCTGCTAAGCCAAACTGGTCTTCTGCCATACTTGCTAGTCTTCCTGCACATCGGGGTGGTTTGTTTCTGCACTCTCAGTATGGCTTCTTTGAAGTAGTCAGCTCTCCTTGACTCCTCTTTCCCCTATACTGGCGTCAAGCTTTTTAAAATAAGATGACAAACTATCTTTTTGCATAGCTTCGTTGTTCTTGCCTTGCCTTGATTTTTTTTGTGTTTTTGACTGCCAGATTCATCGTCTTGCTTCATTATTGCTAAAAAACTGACCTTGATTTTAGGCAGATTAAAAATGTCTGAAAGAGCAGGGTATAGCCACAGGTGGGCCATGGACCACCCAATTAGGTTTAACACAGTTAATCCTGTGTTTTTATCAGGGTCTGTAAAAACGGGATTTTGAACCATTGCATACTAGTGACAAATCATGCACATTGTTGCAAAGTGAGGGGGAGGGTGCTTTTGTTCAATTGAATAATTGGTCAAGCAGACAGACTTTGTGATTGGTAAATGACAATTTCCCTTAGTTGCTGTTATGCTATTGTCGAGACAGCAAAAAAATGGCAAAGCAAATTCTTTGCTAGACTATTTAAAAAACCCATGTTTAGAGCACAGTTCGCAGAAGTTTGCAGAATGCAGAAAGCCTGGAACGCTTTGTGACTTGCAACGCTTATTAAGTTCAGTCATTTGTTAGATTTCTCCTGCATTTTGGGGCCCCTTGTCATTGGGGGCCCAGTGTCATTGCACGGTTTGTTTCATGGTAAATCCGCCACTGTTTGTCAGCCAGATTTTGAAAACCTCTAAGGATGGAGTTTCTACCACCTCTCTGGGTTACCTGTTCCAGTGTTTTACTACCCTCCTAATGAGAAAATTCTTCCTAATATCTAACCTAAACTTCTCTTGCCGCAACTTGAGACCATTGCTCCTTGTTCTGTCCTCTGCCACCACTGAGAACAGTCTAGCTCTATCCTCTTTTGAACCCCACTTTACGTAGTTGAAGGCTGCTATTAAGTCCCCTCTCAGTTTCCTCTTCTGTAGACTAAATAAGCCCAGTTCTCTCAGTCTTTCCTCATAGGTCATGTCCCCTAGCTCCCCTCACCATTTTTGTCACCCTCTGCTGGACTCTCTGCAATTTGTCCACATCCTTTCTGTAGTGGGAGGCCCAAAACTGAACACAGTACTCCAGATGTGGCTTCACCAGGGCTGAATAGAGGGAAATAATCACTTCCTTTGACCAGCTGGAAACACTTGTACCAATGCAGCCCAGTATGCCATTAGCCTTCTTTGTAAGAAGGGAACATGGTTGGCTCATCTTCAGCTTGTTGTCCACTGTAACCCTCAGGTCTCTTTCTGCAGAGCTGCTGCCCAGTCAGTCAGCCCCCAGCCTGTACTGGCCCCATGGACTTGTACATGTCAAGTTTTTTTAAGTAGTACCTAACCTGTTCTTTCACCACTGAGGGCTGCTCACCTCCACCCCAAACTGTGTTGTCCAGTGCAGGTATTTGGGAGCAAACCTTACTTGTGAAGATTGAGGCAAAAAAGGCGTTGAGCGCTTCAATCTTTTCTCCATCCTCTGTCACATGATTGCCTCCCCCATTCAGTAAGGGACCCACACTTTCCCTGATTCTCCTCTTGCTACCATCGTACTTCTAGAAATCCTTCTTGTTACCCTTCACATCCCTTGCTAGCTGCAACTCCAGTTGTGCTTTGGCCTTCCCGACTTCATCCCTGCATGCCTGAGCAATACTCTTATACTCCTCCCTAGTTAGTTGTCCAAGTTTCCACTTCTTATAAGCTTCCTTTTTGTGATTTAGTTTATTGAAGAGTTCCCTGTAAAGCCAGGCTGGTTTTCTGACATTCTTGCTAGTCTTCCTGTACATTGGGCTGGTTTGTTCTTGCACTCTCAGTCAGGCTTCTTTAAAGTACAGCCAGCTCTCCTGGATGCCACTCCCCCCTCAAACTGGCTTTCCAGGAGATCCTGCCCATGAGTTCCCTGAGTAAGTTGAAGTCTGCTTTTCTGAAGTCCAGGGTCCTTACTCTGCTGCTCTCCATCCTTCCTTTCCTTAGGATCCTGAACACAATCATCTCATGGTCACTGCTGCCCAAGTTGTCATCCACTACTACACCCCCCACCAATTCTTCCCTGTTTGTGAGCAGGTCAAAAAAAGCATGGCGCCCCTAGTTGGCTGCTCCAGCACTTGCACCAGGAAGTTGTCCCCAACCCTCTCCAAAAACTTCCTGGATTGCCTGCGCACTGCTGTATTGCCCTCGCAGCAGATGTCAGAGTGATTGAAGTCCCCCATGAGAACCAGGGCCCGTGATCAGGAAATTTCCGCTAGCTGTTTGAAGAAAGCCTCATCTACCACTTCCTCCTGGTCTGGTGGTCTATAGCAGATACCCACCACAACATCACCCCTGTTGCTTTCCCCTCTGTCCCTAACCCAGAGACTCCCAACAGGCCTATCTCCAGCTTCATACTGGAGCTCTGAGCAATCATATGGCCCTTTTACGTAAAGTGCGATTCCTCCTCCTCTTCTCCCCTGACTGTCGTTCCCGAACAGTTTGTACCCATTTGACAGTGCTCCAGTCATGCAAGCTCCCACCAAGTCTCTGTTATACCAGTCACATCATAGCTCCATGACTGTGCAAGGACTTCCAATTCTTCCTGCTCATTTCCCAGGCTCCATTCACTTCTGTACAGACACCTGAGGTAACTAGTTGTTTGTCCTGATTTCTCAGGAAGCATGCAAGCACCTCTTCTGTTGCCTCCTCCTGCTTGCTCTTCCTCTAGGTCACCCACTTCCCATCAGGTGGATCCCATCTTTTCCCAGCAATCCTTCTCCTTGGAAGAACATACCATGGTTGAAGAAGCCAAATCCCTTCTGGTGATACCACCTGCACATCCAGGTGTTGATCTGCAGGATGTATCTGGTCCTGCCTGGGCCCTTTCCCTTGACCTTAAGGATCGATGAGAACACAATCTGAGCCCCAGATCCCCTCACCCTTGCACCCAGAGCCCTGTAGTCATTCTTGATATGCTCAGGGTCACCCCTGGCAGAATCATTGGTGTCCACATGGATGAGCAGCATAGAGTAGTAGTCAGAGGGCCGGATGAACCTCTGTAGTCCCTCTGTGACATTTCAGATTTGGGCTCCAGGCAAGCAAGACCTCCTGAGACAACAGGTTAGGTCAGCAGATGGCTTCTTCTGTCCCCAGCAGAAGGAAGTCTCCAACCAGTACCACCTGTCACTTCTTTTTGGTGGCTGTTGTCCAATCCTTCCCACTTTGTTGAGGCCTGTCCTGTCTTCCTCCACCAGTGGAGCATGCTCTTCCCTCTTTGGTCCTAGGACTGAATATCTGTTCTCCAGCTGAATGACTGCAGGTGGAGGTGAAGATTTCTGCTTGCTGCCAGAAGTCACAAGTCTCTAGCTTCTTCCCTCTTGGGTGTCCATGTCCTCTATCTTCTCTAGTGCTGTGTCTGGTATTTCTTTCTCCACAGTCTTGGAGGTCTCCTCCAGCATCAAATCGATGAACGCCTCATGGCAGAGGATGCTTTGGAGGCTCGCCCTTCCCCGCACTGGCCCATTCATCCATCCATCCACCAAGCCATCCATCCATCCACCTACCTATCAACCCATCCAGCTAACCATCTATCCATCTATTTCCTCCCTCCATACATCCTTTCACCCCCACACTGATTCATTCACCAACCCACACTCATTCATCCCTCCCACCTTCCATCTGTCCTGCATGCCCATCCATCTCAAATGCACCCCTCCACCCACCCCCATCAATGTCCATCCCTCCAGCTCCTCTAGACCTCTTCCTAAGCTCCTCCCTGTCCAGCCCTACTCCCCAACAAATTCTATCTTCACCCCCTACCCCACAGGCCACCCCCCACCCCCCCTAACACCTGCAGGTCACTGGCGACATCAGGCATAGCCACGTCATACTGAAGCACAAAGTCAGCAGCAATGCCAGTGCTGGAGAAGGTCACCTGCTCTTCGCGTGTGGGGGTGAAGACCACCTGGGCACAGTGGGGCCCCTTCTCCACCCTGGTGGAGGGTGGTAGGTCAGCATCCCCTGAAGAAAAGACAGGGTGGGAGCTAGGGGACATGGAGATGCAGGGCCACCTCCCTATCTAGGCCTGAGTTTGAAGACAGCCTGAACCTTTGGCTTGGAGAAACATCCCAAGAAGGTTGTAGCTTCCAGCCTGGGGGATCCCTGGGGGTCTCAGGGTGGGGGGGAGGAGAGTGGGGGCAGGGCAGTGGGTCCCCCAGTCCTGGTACCGAAGAATGCCAGCCAAGATGGGGATGAAGATCCACCATCCCTCCTGAGATGGTTTGACCACCTGGCAGCTTTGTCAGGGATTTCTATGTCAAGGGAGCATCTTTGATCCATACAGAGCTCTGGGGGTCTCAACCTGGCTGGCATGAGGGGTTTCAGGCCTCAACCTCAGGTCCAGATCCTGTTCCCATCACATCTGGGTTCACCCAGATGGCGGGTGAAGGCCAGATCTTTCCTCACGGTGAGAACAAAGGCAGGTTTGGGAGCACAGGTACCTGCTTTCCCTGGAAAGGGATTGAGGGCTGGGGGGTGAGAGCAGGGGGGCTGGTAGCCCGAACACCTGGGTTCTCTCCCTGCTCTTGCTGGGGAGTAGGAATGGCAGGTTTGAGCAAGAGTGGGGTATTCGGACACCTGGGTTCTTTTCCCTTTCTGGGCAGGGAGTGGGCTCTGGTGGACTGGAGCAGGGTTGGGTGCCCAGGTGCCTGGGTTCCCCTGACTGGCTGGGGCAGAGGCTGGGAACCCAGACACCTGGGTTCTCCCTGGCAGATTGGAGTAGGGACTTGGTGCCCAGCCTGGGTTCTTTCTATTAGGATGGGCACCTGGATGCCTGGTTTTCCCTAGCCAGCTGAAGTAGGGGCTGGGCATTGTGACACTTTAGTTCTCCCTGGCTGGCTAGAGCCCATCTACTTGGTGGGCTAGACACCCAGACACCTGAGTTCTCCCTGACCTGCTGGTCGGAGCAGACATACCACTGATGGCGTTGGTGAGCAGGCGGCTGGTGCGCAGGGGCAGCACATGGAGGTAGGCAAGGCCAGCAGGCTCAGCCACCTGGATGTTCACGGCTAGGTCAGTCACCACAGCGCCAGGCCGGATGCTGAGCGCCTGCTGGTACTGGCCCTGCTGGCGCTGCAGCAGCTCCTCATAGCTTAGCTTGAAGGTTACAGTCCCGCTGGGCAAAACGCTGGCCCACACCTGGAATTTCTCCATATCTTGGTACCTGCCAGGGGTGCAGGGTCAGGTCAGGGGCCCTGCCAGAGAACCCAGGTGTCCAGGCTTCCAGCCCTGGCTTTATCTAACCCTCCTGCCTCCACTCCCACCCAGAGCGGGCTGAAACCAGGCATCTGGGCAGGCTCACCGGGTACCCACGTGGGCAGCAGTCTGGCCACTGCGACGTGCTGCCTCATACAGCTGCTTGGCCTCCTGCTTCTCCTTCACCTTGGCTACATGGACACGGCCATTGACGGTGCTAGAGGGGATCGGGATGGGGGCAGGGATGGAAGTGGGGCCAAATCAGCACCGGCTGTCTGCGTGGTGCCAGCCAACCGTGCACCTCTGTGTCTATCCATCCATCTACTCATCCATCCATCCATCCATTCCCATGCTCATCCTCACTCCTTCCACTCATCCCTACACTCATCACTCCATCCCCATGCTCTTTCGTCCATTCATCCCTCCATCCCCACACTCATCCTCACACTTATCCCTCCATCCTCCCACCCACTAATCCCTTATTCCTCCATCCTCCCACCCACTAATCCAGGGTGCAGCCCATGGCCATTCTATCTGGCCCGTGGGGCCCCTAACATTTAAAAAAAAAAAAATTAACCTGCCTTAGGCTGTCTGTCATGTGGCCCTCAATGGCTTGCCAAAATTCAGTAAGTGGCCCTCCGCCCAAAATAACTGCCTGCCCCTGCACTAATTCATCCATCCCTCCACACCCATTTCTCCTCTGCCCCCTCTCATCCCTCCTCCAGAGGTCCCAGATGAGGGCCACTCCCCACTGGGTCTTCTACTGCTCTCTCCTCCTCCGGATTGGTCCAGGCCATTGCCTGGGGGGGAGGGGTGGCCAAGGCTAGCCCTGTCTCTAGGTGCCCTGCCCTCTCACATGCTGAAGTTGGAGATGAAGGCAGTGCTGGGCAGGTCCAGGTCGAAGGCAGCTGCCTGGGCCTCAGCATGGGGGTTGTTCAACACAGCTCGGAAACGTGTGATTGCATAGCGTGACATGATGGTGGAGTTGATATGGAAGCTGGACACAGGAAGCTGAGGCAGGGGCGAGAAGTGGCTTGAGACCCAGCCATCTGTGTCCCAGCCTCCACCCCATTTACAGACCGAGAAAAGAACCCAGTAGTCTGGGCTCCCAGACCCCAACTCCCCCCACAGAATGGGGAGAGAACCCAGGCATCCGGGCTCTCACCCTCCAGCTCTCACTCCAACGTTCTCCTCTCAGAGAACCCAGGTGTCCAGGCTCCAAGCCCCACTTCCCCACTCCCCTCCCAAAGCAGGGGTGAAACCATGGGATGGCCATGCCCCACCCACCGCTGTCCCCTGCCCCCTCCCCACAAGCTCCCCCACCAGGGCTGGGGGGCATCACTCACCTGGGCACGGATAGCTCTGATTGGACGCTTCAGGGCCTGATAATGAGAGGCAGAAATGCACTTGTTAGGATCCAAATGGGGAGGGGGAGGGGTAGAGGGGCCAAATGCTTGGGCTCCTCCTACCAACCTGATGGGGATCCTGGATGTCTGGGTTCCCTCCCACCAGTTCCATGGGCATTCCAGATATGTGAGTTCTCTCTCACCAACCTGATTGGGATCCTGGACACCTGGGTTCCCTCCTTCCAGCCCAACAGAGTTGCTAGATAGCTGGGTTCCCTCCCATGAGCCCACAGGGCTCCCGGATGCATGGCTTCTTTCCCACCAACCCCGTAGGTATCCCAGGTGCCTGTGTTCCTTCTTATGAGCCTCATGGGCATCCCAGATGCCTGAGTTCTCTCCCACCAACCTTACGGGGATCCTGAATGCCTGGGTTCCCTCCCGCCAGCCCCATGGCCACCCTGGACATCCAGTAAGGGAACCCTAGCATCTGGGGCAGCCAAAGACTCACCTCCCAGGGCAGGGGGCACCCTGGGGGAATAAGAGCTGCCAGCCCCAGCAGCAGGAGGCAGCAGCAGGTACTGGACACCGGCTCCATGGTCCTGCTCCTGCCTGGGCCTTGGCAGCATCCTCTCCATCCCTCTCCCCCTCCCCCTCCTGCCAGCACCATAAAGGCAGCATTGAAGCCATACAAGCTGGGATTGTGCGTCTGGAACCCAGGCATCCAGAACTGGAGGGGCGCCAGGCACTGCACAAGGAAAACAGTATGGTGGGGGGACAGGGGGCCTAATCCGGGCTTGATCCTGGGACACTGGCTTCACAGGTTGGGTCTGAATCTGGGGGCACTAGCTGTATGGGAGGGCAGGGCAAGGCAGGGCAGGGGGCCTGATCCTGGGGCACCAGCTTCATGGGGTTTGGCAGAAGACCCTGATCTGGGCCTGAGGAAGAGGCCATGGCTGCTTGGGAGAAGTCAGGAGGCCATGAATGGATGTGGGGGGCAGAGGGCTCTGATCCAGGTCTGATCCTGGGGCACTGACTGGATTGGGCAGGGGGCAGGGCAGGGGGCCTTGATTCAGGTCTGATCTGGAGCACCAGCGGCATGTGGGGAGGGGAGGCAGGGGCCCTGGTGTGAAGGCACCAGCTACATGGAAGGGATGCAGAGGCTTATGTTGAGTGAAGGGCAGGGGCCCCAGCTTGAGCCCAATTCTGGGGAACTAATTGGATGGAGAGGGGGAGCAGAGGACCTGAATCTTCGACACTGGCTGCATCGGGGAGGGGGAGCAGCAGGCCTGATCTAGGGGCACCAGGCTGATGGGGGGCCATGGCTGGATGGAGGAGGGCTGGGGGCCCCAATCTGGGCCTGATCCAGGGACACCGGCTGAGTGAAGGGGTTAGAGAGACCCTAATCCTGGGGCATAAAATGCATGGGGTAGGGCAGAAGGCCCTAATCTGAGCCTAATCCAGGGGTTCTGGCTGCATTGGGGGGGGGGCGTGGCATTAATGGATGAGAGAGGCAAGGTGTCTTGTTCTGGCCCTGATTCTGGGGAAGTTTCTGGACCTGAACCAGGTACTAACTGGATTGTTGGAGGCAGGGGCAAGGGGGCTCTGATCTGAGGATACCAGCTACACAGGGGGAGGGGCAGAGGCTCATGGCTGAATGAGGGGCAGAAGCCCTGATCTGGGTTCAATTCTGGGGAAACAGCTGAATGGAATTTTGCAAGGGGGGGGCAGGGGCATGGAATCTGGGACACTGGCTGCATGGGGGACAGTGGGCCTGATCCAGAGGCACCAGGCTGATGGGGGCAGAGAACGTGGCTAGATGTGGGGGGAAGGGCCCCTGATCCAGAAACACCAGCTGAGTGCAGGGGGTAGAGACCCTGATCCATACCTAATCTGGGGGCCCTGGTCCCCAACCCAGGGACACTGCCCAGATGGGGAGAGAGCAGAGGCACCAATCTAGGTCTGATCCTGGGGTAGCAGCTGGATGGGGGGGAGGTGAGCAGGAGGCCTTGGCTAGATGGGGTGGGGTAGGTGGTTTTGCCTTTTGCCTTTGTTGGAAACCAGAGGAAGGGTTTTTCTCTTCCAAGTCTGGGAGAGGAGTGGAGCCTGGGGGTGTTCAGAGTTGGGGGGGACCGAGATGCCTGGGTTCTCTGGGTGGGGAGTGGAAGGTTAGGGGGTAGAAGGCTGGGTGCCCAGACGCCTGGGTTCTCTGGGCAGGGAGCAGAGGGTTGTGGGGGGCAAAGCGGGTGGGGACTGGGCACCTGGATTCACTGCTTCCAGCCCTGACAAAGGCTACACAAACAAGGCAAGGGGAGGGGAACACCAAGACAGCGCAGAACTTTTTAGAAGCCTTGCCTAGGCTGGTGCTTGCCTAGCCTGGTGGGGAGGGGGGCATTGGCCATCTTGTCTGGCTTGGGGTGCTCTTGCCCTTCCCTCATGATGGGGGTGGGGGGCCCTTAGTCATGGGGCATTTGTGATTCCCCAGTTGGGGTGAGGCAGGCCATGAGAGGGGCCTGGAATCTGTTGTAGGTGCACAGGTATTCAGTGAGGAGGATCTTTTGGAGGAGGTTTTTACCAGAGATCTAGTGGGGGGGCAAGGTAGATTCCATAAGAAGGGAATCTCAGTTCTGCTGTGGGTATGGAGATGAAAGAAAGGATTCCCCTTCAGGGATCTGTTGGAGGGGAGGCATGATCTGTCCCAGGGGATGGGATTTGGTGAGAGGTCCTCTGTGGGGAAGTGGGATCCAGTAGGGGAGGAGAACCCGCAGGTATGGGACTGGGTGGGATTCCTGCCCCCCCCCAGGGGTGAATCTGTGGATTCATCAACAGATCCCTGCCTACTCTCAGGGGACCCACATCCCACCAGATCCTTCAGCATGTTCCATTTTCCCCACAGGACCTACTCTTCCCCCCACTGGATTCCCCACTAGATTCCATCCCCTCTCAGGGGGCCTGTTCTCCACTACTGGGTCCTTCCATGGATTACCACCCACCCCATATAACTTGCTGTACAGCCATGGATCCCTCAGGAGATCCCTAACTTCCCCCCTTACAACCTGCTTAACCCCACCAGATCCCTCAGCACATCCCCATTCCCCCCACAGGACCTATTCTCCCACACTGGGTTCCTCAGCAGATCCCAGTTCCCCCTCATGACCCCTCAGCAGGCCCTCATTCCTCCCAGAGGACCCTGGGGAATCACAGATTCACTGTTTCCAGGCTTGCCAAAGGCTACACAATCAAGACAACAGAAAGGCATGCTTGGCCAGTCTAAGTCACGCCGCCAAGATGACACCAGCACCCACTCCCCAGAGTGCGTTTCAGCGCCTACTTTTTAATCGCTGACTGCCGAGGCAGAGCCTCGCGGGAAAAGGCGGGCGAAGCCAGGGCTGGAGGGGTGTGGAGCGGGAAGCTGCGCACGCGCAGACCGGAAGGAGAAAAGCGGGGAGGGGCGCATGCGCGGAAGGGAAGCGGTCGGTCTCGGGCCTGGTGGTTCGGTCTTTTCTCTTCCTCAGTCCGGGATCCGTTAGGGGCCAGGCAGGTGTGATCTGGTTGGAGGGGGCATGGGACTCGTCGGGGAGGTAGGAGAGAGGGGATTAGGGCTGGGGGAATCCCCGTGGAGGTAGGAGAGCGGATATCTAAGGAGATGGATCCTCTGGAGGGTTGGGATCTGGTGATGGGGGATCCCCAGAAGGTGGTAGTGAACGAGGGGATGAGAGAGAGGGGGATCGACTGCAGGAGATCTGGGATCAGGTGGGTGGGCATACAGGATCTGGGATGGGGGAGAGACCAGTCTACTGGGGGTAGTGGCAGTGAATGAGGGGGTCCATTGGGGAGATCTGGGGGAGAGGACTCAACTGGGGGGCATGGATTGGGGGATCTGGAAAAAGAGAAAATCCATTAAGGGGAGATCCCAGATCCAGCTTGGAGATTTTTCCTAGGGGGATCTTCTGAGGGAATGGGATCCAATCAGGTGAAGGCAGGATTAATTCAGGGGTCTGTAAGGAAGAGCTCAGGGCAGGCAGGAGGGATCTTGGGCCTGGGATCCAGCCTGGGGTAACAGATCCCAGGGGCAAGGTAGGGAATCTGGCTGGATCTGTAACTCTCCCCCACCCCCTTACAGGCTGAGGCACCATCAGTATGTCCCAGAAGCATCGAAGGAATGACCCCGGGCCTTCCCAGGTAATCTTCCCAGTGTTCAGGATCGGGCCCAAAATAGGGTACCACAATCCCCCTAACTACTTCTCCCCCCCCCCCCACTGCACCCACGTCCCAGGAAAATG